TTATTGGTATTTTGTGTGACAATACAGATTGAAATAATGATAACAAGGTGAACAGTAGGATATTGTCCATTATTAATCCCTTCCACAATCCCCCCATTCATATTAACTCAGATAGACAGAAACACAGTAAATTAAATAATTAAACAATAACAAATGAAATAAAATAGATATAATTAACCAATATTTAAAAAAAAAAAAAAAAAAAAAATCCCTTCTAACAGATGACAAACATTACATGTTGCCAGTTACAGGTGCACAAGGTAGTCCTTTAATATAGTCCAAAAAGGGATCCCAAGTCTTATAAAAGGATTTGAGTGAACCAGAGAGTGAGCATCTTAACTTTTCAAGTCTGATACAGTAAAAAATGTCCTGTATCCACCTGTTATGTGTCGGGGGCGAGGCGTGCTTCCACATAAGAAGGATAGCTCGTCTGGCCAAGATTGTAGCGAAAGCAACAACCTTACAATCTCGGATTTCCTCAATATTTTGACTTTTTTGCACCCTCAGATTCCAGATTTTCAAATAGTTGTATCTCGGCCAAATATTGTCCTATCCTAACAAACCACACATCAATGGAAAGATTATTTATTCAGCTTTCATATGACCCTTATGACTGTTGTGTGGTCCAGGTTTTCTCTCGCTCTGGCCCGTGTCAGGCTTCTGGGTCAAAGTTGACGGTGAAAGCAGCTGGATGTGTAAAGGCAGTGTGTGACTGTCGCATTACTGAAAGCTGTCTCACACTGCAGTTCTGTATCCAATGGCAACACGCTCCAAAGGTCTCGTGTGCCGTGTTCAAACTCTCAAAGGAAAGACAGACAAAGAGAGAGTGTGTGTTTGTGGGAGTTTCAGCACCTGTGCTGATGCAGATGGCCTAAATGTTTATTTTATTGGTGGAATAGTTCAGCCAATAAATAAAATGTGCTCACCCTCAGGCCATCCGAGATGTAGTTGAGTTTGTTTCTTCATCAGATTTGGAAAAATGTAGCATTGCATCAGTGTCTCAGCAATGGATGCTCTGCAGTGAATGGGTGCCGTCAGAATGAGAGTCCAAACAGCTGATAAAAACATCACAATAATCCACAAGTAATCCACAGCCAGCCAGTCCATCAGTTAACATCTGGAGAAGACAAAAGCTGAAACAAATCCAGCATTAAGACGTTTTTAACTAAAATACATAGAGTCCATAATCCATAATAACGCTTCCTCCAGTGAAAAAGTGCATCTCCTGTTGTCTCTCACATAACAAATATGTGGTTGGATTTTGATGTGAGATACAACAGCAGATGGACTTTTTCACTGGAGGAAGCGTTATTATGGATTATGGACTCGTAATTTAGTTGTAAGCAACAGTTTGAAATTAAACGCCTTAATGATGGATTTGTTTCAGCTTTTGTCTTCTCCAGATGTTAACTGATGGACTGGAGTGCTGTGGATTATTATGATGTTTTTATCAGCTGTTTGGATTAGGGTTGCACGATATATCGTTTCAGCATCGATGAACTTTGTGTCAGCACTTCGTAAATAGAACGAGGCAGCTGTTTACGGTCGGTGATTTGTCGTGTCGCGCCGTATCGCATCGCTGATTATAATGGGTTCAGTATTTTGTTGCGTCGCACCGCTCGTGTCTGGTGTAGACGGTGAGAGCCACGCAGATGCACGTGAACACTGAATACCGTTCACTTCTGCGTCTATTTGTGCGAAATTGTCAAAATGCATGTCTCTGCAAGTATCCTTGTAAGTTGCTTAGGTGAAGGTTAACAATTGAGAAAGGAAATGGACATGTAACAGTATTTTGGTTCACAGCAGTTTAATGAGGCTTTCTGGGTCATGAATGTTAATCAAACAACAAAACACAGAGAAAAATCACTTTTGTAGCTTTAACAGATTTATTAGATTTAATTTATACAGTGAAGACTATGCAGTGTTATTTTACATTTGATTATTCAATTTCTGTACCTGAATACTGTTAGACTTACCTGAAAAAAATGTAAAGCAGTGTGTATTTCATTTGTATCTTTGTTCTGTTATATTTATCTATTAGGGATGTAACGATTAACCATGAGCCGGTTGAAAATCGATTCAAATATGTGACGATTCAAATCGGTTGAGATGCTAA